GGTCTGCCAGTGGTGCCAGGAGTCGCAGGGGGAGTCGAAATGCTTGCTTCTGGCTGCCATTCACTCCTCCCCCAGGTACGTGCTGCACACTTGTCTGAGGAGCGGCCCAGCACTTAAAGAGAGTTTCCTTTTTGTTGTTTTGCTTTTCCCGGCATCAGAAATTTGCCAGTTTCTACAGTTTTCCAGATGCTTAAGTTCTGGATAGCACAGGTTTTACTGTATTTAGCTTCCAATCTGCTGTGCAATGCATTATAAATACCCCTCATGTAAAAAAAAATCATGGTTAGCAATCACTGCCTTACAAAGAGCAGTGACAATACTCCATCGATAAGATACTCCACTGCTCTTAGCAAAACCATTATCATATACTGATATTTTCTAGCCACATGTTGGTATTTCAGCAACCACTGTGGTCTTCTGTCTGCCCTCAAAGTACTATTTTACAAAAAAATCGATTAACTTGGCATTTTGCTTCTGTATTCTACACCTTTCCTGGTCTCTGATTATGATAATCCGAATGTGGGTAGGCAGGTAGTACTGGTTTAGCTCTGAACATACTCCTCCTGTTCAATCCACTCAGTAAAGCTTCAACCAAATCTGTATGACATCACAAGTAGTCACCATGGAAATAACTCTGACATCAGGTGCTGAAATATCATTAATGAATTAAACAGGAAGGAGGAAAAGGCAGCTAATGAGAAAGGAGAAAGCTGCTATTTAAACACACAAAGCTGTTGAGCAGCAATAATGGAAAATAAAAATAATCAAATTTTATGTGGTAGTGCGAAGAGAAACTAGCATCTTTTATTTTTTGTTACAGAGTATGCATGCATTGTCTGTTATTTAAGAGTCTGTCATCATTTCCATTATAAATTGCTTTTGTACAAATTCTAACTCAGTTGTTTCAACTTCATCAGCCTAAAGCTTGGCACAGTTTTGTTTAAAAAAAAAAAAATCCAATAGCTTAAATATTGTGGACTTAATTATTTTTCATGTGTAGAATTAAAAAATTACAATTCTCTCTCTTTCTCTCTTCCTCCCTCGTTTCAGATACCAAAGGTAAATGCAATTGATGCTTAGGTATAACAAAGGAATGGAACCTTCTACAGTGTATTATTTCATTCTCCCCATGAATATTGGGTATAACAATAAATATAGCAAGATAAGCAAAATGAAACACTGTTGAGCCATCTACAATAATTAACTAAGTACAATAGTAGGTATTCAAGACAGAGCTCAGAATTCAGGTTGAGCTCAGAATTTTTTTTGCATTAATGGATTTTGGTTCTCAAATTACAGAAGTTGAAGCTTTGCAACTGACAGTCAAATTGTTACACTGCAATTACAAAACATATTACTTGGAAAAAGACTACTACTACTCTCATGATAAAACTAATTTTGTATTTTATTCAAAGACAGCCCAAAAGCAACAAATCAGAACAGTCAAATATCAGTTTTATATCTATCTAAGCTTGAATAATGTAAACTCGACTCATGATCAGTGGTGTGTTAATACGGCTTTGCAGTTGAATATGTTACTAACTCCCCTGTTCAGTCACATAGGGCTCTTCACAATCCAGACTGCTAGATTATATTACTAATATTAGTAAAGAATTTAGATTTTAAAACAATTTTAACTTTACAGGGTCTTTCTGCATGTGTTACAGAATATGCTCTGTTAAATTAAAATGTAACAGACCTCTTCACATGCTTGGCAAAAGTATAAAAGCTATTTTGCCATTAACACTCACTCCAGTCATTTGAAGAAGTGGGCTGTGCCCACAAAAGCTCATGATACCATCTACATGTTTTGTTAGTCTATAAAGTGCTACCGGACCATTTTTTGTTTTTTAAGTTTATCCTGTACAGACTAACTTGGCTACCCCCTGAAGCTTCATAAGATATGAAGAGTTAACAATCAAAAAGTGACATACCGCTAAAAGTAGCTCCAGAATCTTTCACAAAATCCTCCACAATAATGGACAAACTGGCAAAATTGGGCTGCCTTATCAGCTCATATAAAGAGGGCTGAAAAGGAATAGGAAAATGAGATAAATTTAACTTTTACAGTAGATCCAAGCAAAACCAATGAGGAAAATATTCTGTCACACTCCATTCTTCTATCCTGTTTTCTACTCTACTTCCTTCTAAAATGTTTAATAAAATATGCAAATATGCAACTGAAGTTATTTCTGAAGTATTAAAAAAAATATCTAATATCCTACAGATATTCATGGGAGTCCCTCCCAGTCTGGATAAGAAAGTTAAAGAACACAAGCAACTTGTAGTGGTACCAAGGTAAGTGATTAAGAACTTAGGGCTCCTGTTTATTTTAGGATTTGGTGCTGGTACCATCTGCACACCCCACACTTAATTGGAAGAGCAAAGCAATGTCCTAAGAGGATGATGTGGATTTTTCTGTTCTTTCCCCTTTTCTGATTCTGAGATCTCTTAACTTCTTAAATAATAGGTGAAAACAGTCTTCCGGTGTTTGGGAAGGAGACTATCATGCCCAGGAAACAGGAGAGGACCTTCTGAGAAAACAGTAGTTGACTGAGGACTGCACTGTATTGATGCACTCTTGAGCTCTGTAATTATAATTCCACTTAATTAAATTTCCAATTGATTTCAAGATGTTTTAAAATAATGGTAACAGCAAGCTCATTCTGATAAAAGCTTGTTACTTGACTTCCATCAGCATTAAAGCCAGCATAATCACCCACAGAGATGAACAAAGTTTTGTGCCCATAAAATATGGTAAGTCCGGATGGAATTAGAGAGTGTGTTTTTTGTATAAAGCTAAAAATGCCTGTGGCCATTTTATAGCTACAGTGTAATACTCCTTGAGTAGGTTTAGCTGAGATACTATCATTCTGGACATTAAATGGCTTTTGATTCCACCTCATTATTTGTAGCACTGGAAGGCATAGTGTTATTCCAACCTGACACCTTACATCTGCTTGCTTACTCAGACACGTATTAGTTTTCCTATCATGTTGTATCTTAATGGAACTCACATGGGGATATTTTTGAACATTAGTACTTCATAAAGTTAAAACAAACGCACCACATTAATATACCCATGGGCAGGCACTGGTATATTAACAATTCTCAAATCATGACATTGGGGGTCTCAGAACCAATCCAAGACCTCAATGCAAATGTGAGAAAAATTACCTTTTAAATAAAACTCAACCCAAACTTCAGTTTCTTACAGTCTAAGAGGTGTTCACATTAGGGATGTGATAGCGTACACAGTTAAATGAGGAACCTGGGCTCGTTGGTTACCTTCATGGTTACACGCAGGACTGCTCCCCACCCGGTGCTGCTGCCTCTGTATCAGAGGCAGCAGCATGGTGTCCCTGGTGGGAGCTGGTCTATGAGGGGAGCCAGTATATTACATTAAAAATATCAGCATGTGCTGTGATACCAAATATATATGCACAAAGACTCCACATTACAACATCTACAGGAACCTTAACTTAATTTCCTGCATGTAAATTTTCAGTGACAGAATTTGCATTAAGGAAGTTTAGCATGCTCTTTATTTATAAACGAGTATAGATTAGCCTATATATACACCCCTCTTCAGCCTAGCAGCACAGCAGGATAAACGATCAATAATGTCAGCATGAGCCTGAAGTTTTTAGTTTGTATAAAGGAATGTAACATTTAAAAAGAAAAATAATTCATAGAACTAAAGTTCACCAGCAGTTCTATGGCACCAAACTGAATAACCAGAATATCTAAAATATTTAAAGCAATGAACTATCAGCCAGAGAGGCTGTGGCAAGTTTGTTAGAGGTTTTAGCAACTTCATTTGGTATTTATAAAATACTCAGACTGACAGCACTCACCAAAGCAAAGCTGAATTGCAGCAGAGCCCTCAAATGCAGTCTTGGGCCCCTACACAGCTCACCATCCTGGCCTACAGCACCCCTTGCCAGTGAAAGTTCTGCAGCTCTTGAGTAACAAGTTGTTGAACATGTCAGATTGGCTCAAATTTGATTTGGCTCAAAGTCTCTTAAGATGTAGGATGACACCAAAAATCCCTGGCACTATCAACACTTTTACACTGCTCCATGAATAGTAAAAGCCTCATTTTGGGAAAAATTATACTTTGGGAGAAGTTTGCTTCACAGGACCTACCCCTGTCAGGCTGTAGTCCTGAAATACCCAGGATTTATCTTCATTCGTGGCACAGCATAAAGCAGCAACGCCATGTCCCACTGCGCAAATAGGCTCTAAAACCCCAAAAGAATTAAGAAATTAATTATAAATATCCTGAAAGTTACAAAAGCCAAAATATCCTCTAAGTTCCTGTACACTAGGGATGTTAATTTCGATTAATCAACTAATCAAGTAGTCAATGGAATTTCCATCAATTACTCGATTAGTTGATGAGGGGTAGGACGGGGCACTCACTATCCCAGCTGCGTCTCTGTCTTTTAAAAGTCAGAAGAGCCGCCCATGGCTCTTACAACATATAAAAGATAGAGGAGTAATGGGGAACCAGGGCAAGCGGGGACTGCTTGATTCCCCACTCACCCCAGGTTCACGCTGTGCCACCTTTGCCTTTTAAATGTAACAAAAGCCCTGCAGGGTTCCTGCTACATTTCAAAGGCAGAGGCACAGCAGTCGGACCCACCCAAGCAGGGACTTCTTCAGTCCCTGCCCACCCCATTTCCTGCTGTGACTCTGCCTCCTCTGCCACACCCGCCCCATAGAGAAGATGCTAAGGGGAACTGGCTTTTAAGACGGCTCCCCCCCATCACCAGCAAAGTGGGTGGTAAACAACTAATCGCTTACATCCCTACTGTACATTGCCTTTCTGAAAGTGGCATTATGCAACATTGTTTGCATTCTCATTGGCTTTACTCTTTTCTAGGTGAACCAGTTTACAAAGTTAGGCCGCAGACCTCCAGAGTTACATGTATGCTTAATGCAGGTAGTTCCAAGAGGACTACTCAGGCTCATGTGCTTAAATTAATGCACATATGCAATTCTTTGCAGGATCAGGACCTTATTGAAGAGGACTGTAGAGTACTATGAAATTGATTATGAACTAGGAGTCCCCATCTGACTCACAGGAAGCACGCTACTCTAGTTTTGGACATGGTAAAGCAGAAGAATTCTTTTCTCTCTCAAAAGTATTCAAAAAAACTACTGATTTTATTTTTATTTCTTTTCACAAGAAAGGTTTGCTATTTTTTAAGTGGAAGACCACACAGATTTAGAAAAGTTTCCCAGTTCTGATGTTGCTGCACTATTCCAGCTGTGTATTTTGAAATTTGCTAGCCACATCACCACTTCCATTACTTGCCTATAAGTGTTTACTGCAAGATAAATGAACACTTGCATTGTACTGATCAAAAATGAAGTAATGAATTAGGTACAGAATCTGGATATTTTTTAAACAAAAAACAGAGATCCCCAATAGGGTTTACCTACTATTCTCATTGCTGAAGTGCTGCAATATTTTAGCTAGGTATCCACTGTTTGCAAGGTCAGTCATAGCTCCAGGACAGTTAGGAATCAACAAGGCATGATATCTAGCACCTAGTTAGGAAGAGAGAATAATACAAGTTTGGACCATAAACGTATCAACAAGCAATAATATCTGAGCATGATTTCTTTTCAAATTGATTTGACAAAGCAAAGACAATGCCACAAAAAAGTCAGTTTCATACTACAATATGTAAAAAAACAAGCACAAAGTAATTAAATAAAAATATAATGTCTATGTAGCTCATTAATTGTGGCATTTGGGCTCTAATGGATGGAAATAAGGATGTTAAATTTCAATTAATCTACTAATTGAGTAGTCGATGAAATTTCCATTGACTACTTGATCATTTGATAAGGGGGGCACTCGCTTTCCTGCTGCTCCTCTCCTTTTGAAATGTACAAGAGCCGCCTGTAACTCCTGTACATTTCAAAGGGAGAGAGGCAGTGGGAACCTGCACTAGTGGGGACAAAGCAGTCCCCACTGGGGTGGGTTCCCCTCTGTGCCTCTTCCTTTGAAATGTACAAGAGTTGCAGGCTGCTCTTATGCATTTCAAAGGGAGAGAAGCAGCAGTTGGACCAGCAGTCGGACTGTTTCAATCCCCGCTGCCTTCTGCCTCTTCTGCCCCTGTGGAGAAGATGCTGGGGGAACTGGCTTTTAAGCTGGCTCCCCTCAGCACCAGCTTGTGCTCCCCCCCTTGCTGCCTCTCTGATAGAGGCAGCAAGGAGGGGAAAGCAACTAGTTGAGTTCCTACTTGACTACCAGATAAGCATTTGCCCAACTTGCTTGACTGCCTGATGAGCATTTATTGTGTAGTCAATTAATCACTCACATCCCTAGATGGGAGGGGTACTATCCTTTTCTAGACAAGCCAGCTATTCAACTAACTTAATTGCCTTTAAAGGGTTAAACCCAGAGACAGTAAGTATCCAAAAAGCATTGGCAGGGAGCCAGAGTGTCAATGGGAAGAGGGTGAGACATTTGACTTGAAACAGGTTCTGCCTGCTTCAGTCTTTTGTGAGAGTTCAGAGCAAGAGCTGGGGGAGAAATGAAGTAAGCCAGGAACCAGGCATGGAATTTTCAGCAATATCCATGTCTAGAAGGGACTGAACCTTGGAATAACAGATACGTAAGTGAACAGGGAATGTTTAGACAGACACCATCACCTTATTTCTCTTTAATTTTGGGTCTGGTTGATTTATGCACAGACACCCCCCCCCCATATACTGTAACTTTTAAATTAAATCCCAGTGAAGCAATTCTCTGTGCTTTTAATTTTCCTTTTTTTAGTTGCTCTCTAACACCTAGCAACCAAGAATGCTTTACCAAATATCACTCTTTGCTTGGCTAATAAATTCACCTTTTTAAGGCTATGATCTGATTCCTGTGTCCTAGAAGACAGGAGGTTCAATGTGCACGTGCCTGAGCCTAAAGGTCAGCTATTAAGAAATTACAGTTTGTTCTCAAGCTCTTTCTTGAGGAAGGGTTAAGAGCTTGGGGTTACCCCACAGGAAGAAATTCCCAATTGCATCTTCCTAGGCTCTCAAGGGGTTTTTGCATTTGGGTAGTGGCAGTGTACCAACCAAGGTCAGGGAATCTCAGGACTTTTTTTTTTAAACAGAAGCCTTTAGTAGCAGAGTATTTTAAGCCCCAGCCTTATACACTCGAAGTGCCAGAGTGGGGAACATCCTTGACAAAGGCCTACAAAAAAATCACAAGCTTCTGAAGAGATATTCTTAACTAGATAAAGATTTACCATGCTTTCTTCTACTATAGACGAAGTCCATTACAGGCAGTCCCCGAGTTACGCGGATCCGACTTATGTCGGATCCGCAGTTACGAACGGGGCCCTCTCCCTGGTCTCCAGCAGACCAGGGGGACGGGGAGCAAAGCCGCGGAACACGCGGGCAGCGGACAGCCCAGATGAGGGAGACGGGGAGCAAAGCAGACCAGGGAGACAGGGAGCAAAGCGGAGCAAAGCCACGGAGCCCGAGGGCAGCAGGACAGCTACGGCGCGTCTGGGCTGTCCCGCTGCCCCCGTGCTCCGCGGCTTTGCTCCGGACGCCTGTGGTACAGCAGGTGGGGGGCGGGCCGGTGGGCGCCGC